GTCGTCGACGTCGGTGAGCTTGAAGGGGCGGAGGGTGATTCTTGATGTTGGGTCCATCATTGATTGGATATGGTTGCAAAATTGGGAGTAGAAGTAGAGCAGTATGTTAGGTGGGCAGTTGCTTTGTTGTGTTTCAGTGGCAGAGCGCAGAGCTCTGTTTTGAGTCAACTTTCGATTTTTTTATAGACCAATTCTGTGGAAAATTTGTGCAAACTTTTCTATCTTGCTTTGCAACTAAAGTGAAGAGTAGGAAATAGGGGAGGAAGGTGGCCCAGAGGTGATGTGTCCTTATGCTCCCAGAAAGTTCGAGGGTGTTGCATTGATTACTAGTTTCTGATCTGACCTTCCGTCGCATTAAGAAATTAAGGGGTCGTTTGGAAGTTGAGATTTTTCAAATATGTGTATTTGATGAATACATTTATTGTAAATATAAAGATTGTAAGAATTGGATGATTGGAAGAATGTCTTGTTTGGTTGAAGTCATTCAAAAATTTTAAAGAAAAGAAAAAATCACTTTATGAGCTAAAAGTGGAACAAATTAAAGCCAACAATCTCAAAGGAAGAATCTCACCTTTTTGTTGAGATTTAAAATGACTGATTGTGGATTAGGCTTAATTGCAAGTTTGGTCACTCGAATTGCTATAAAATTTCACGTTTGCCACTCCAATTAATTTATTCCATTTATAGTCACTTAAATTAGGTTAACAGTTCAAGTTTGGTCACTGGCCGTTAGTCTCCGTTAACTTTTGCTGATGTGGCGGTCAACTATTATAGTTGACCGTTAAATGCATGACGTGGCAATTAAAAATTTTAAAAAATAATTTAAATTAATTATTTTTATTTTCCACCTAATTATTATAAAAATAAAAAAATCCTAATTCCTTTTAATTATTATTTTCCACCGCCAGTCGCCGTTCCTCTCCTCTCAGGTCGACGGCCTCTCCGGCCGGCCAAGCCCCGCACCATCATCGTCTTGGGCCTCCTGAATTCCGCCCGTGGCTGACCCCCCACCACCGCTGCTTTTGCTACTCTCTTCTGTCGATTTAGCTGAGTCGATTTCCGAACTCGCCTTGGGAATTTTCTTTGAATATAATATTTCTGGCAATTTTCCACCACCTTAGAGAAACCGCCATTAATGCAGACAGTTAACCGACTTTAATGAGATTCGGAGAAATCCTCATTCGCCATAGCTCTACTCGATCTCAGAGACTAGTGTAAAGAGGAGGAAGGTAGCTAATACAGCTCCGGAATGCAGCTCAAATTTCGCAAGAAATAGTACAAACATTGTCTAAAGAACAAGATTCCCTTCACAATGCGGTAAAAAAACATTCTGAGCTAAAAATTTGTTCGTTCTGTAGCTAGAGACTATACTTACTGGACGGAGAAAAAGATCTAAATAGCAGCAACGGACTTAAGTAGCTGTGAATTTTAAACAGTAGGAAGCAAAAACATAGGAAAACAGAGTAGAACAGAGAGTAGAGCTCCGCTCAATTAAGCGTTGCGACAGAGACGAACACAAGTGCAGCGCGCGAGATTGGGGAGAGGTTGTCGACCTGAGGGGAGAGGAACGGCTACGGGCGGTGGAAAATAACAATTAAAAGGAATTAGGTTTTTTTTAGTTTTATAATAATTAGGTGGAAAATAAAAAATAATTAAATTAAATTATTTTATTAATTTTTTAATCACCACGTCACTCATTTAACGGTCAACTATAAGAGTTGACCGCCACATCAGCAAAAGTTAATGGAGACTAACGGCCAGTGACCAAACTTGAACTGTTAACCTAATTTAAGTGACTATAAATGGAATAAATTAATTTGAGTGGCAAACGTGAAATTTTGTAGCAATTCGAGTGACCAAACTTGCAATTAAGCCTTGTGGATTATATGAGATTTGAGGGCCCACCTCAAATGCATGTATTGAAATAATTTTTGGAACAAAAAAACGATTGATTCTCTAGAATACATGAATTCAAAGAATCATTCATCTAGAATCATAACTTCCAAACGACCCCTAATAGTTTAGTTGAAAATGAATAATTCACAAAATTATTTAAATTAGATACCTACATAAGTTTCACGTAGTTTATTAAACATTATGAATAACATACGTCAGTTTGTTTAAGTGATGCATAATGAATAATGGGTAAATACAATTTAATATCCAAACCTTTTATTTTAAACAATATAATAGCCAAACCTTTTCGAAAACAATCTAATATCCAAATCGTCAACTTTCTGTCTGTTTGACCGTTAGTTGACACTTCAAAAAAGTTCGAAGTACGACACTTCATCAATATCCATCGATATCTTCTCTGAAAACCACCAACATATCGTAGTTCCAAAACCGAGAAGTCTATGACTCCACCATGATGATATAGAATATCTAAATATTCAGTCATCTGCAATGCCAAAACAAGAAACAAAGTTGTATTGTGACAGTTTTCCCTAAACAAAGCTTTTTTGAAGTGTCAACTAACGGTCAAACGAACGGAAAGTTGACGATTTGGATATTAGATTGTTTTTGAAAAGGTTTGGCTATTATATTGTTTAAAATAAAAAGGTTTGGATATTAAATTGTATTTACCCATGAATAATTATCCCTACATAAGGATTATGTAGTGTATAATCATTATGGAAGATTTATATGATATTTTCAGGGGCGGAGCTACTTAGTAACTAGGGTGGGCCCCGGCCCCCCCGGGAATAGTTCCGGCCCCTAGGACCTTATGAATATTTAGATATAGTTTGGATAAGTAAGCTTGATAGTGTATTGTCACATCAATCAATCACATAGTCTAACGGTAGCTATACCACCCAAGTTCGATCCACATCTACCACTTATTTTTGCTTTTCCCACATTGTACCCTAGGGCCTAGACCAACGAAAAAGCCACACACTAAAAGGCCAAAACCCAATCAAATTCATTCTTTTCCTTTTTTATAGAACGTGTATCGGAATTGACAATGAAGTATTGTCGAGCAAATTTTATTTTGTGGTTGATATGTCTTATTTTCGCTATATGTGATTTTGCATTTTCTGATGTGAAGAATAGATGTGAAACAGAATGAATGACAAATTTTTTGTTAATGATTTATTTATTTGTATTGAAAGAAAGATATGTAAGAGTTTTAATTTAGACGCTATATTGAATGATCCAATAAACGTCGTATACTTTAAAATAAGTATAATAAATATTTTATTTTAATTATATTTACGTTTTCGGCCCACCCGGTTTCAAAATTCTGGCTCCGCCCCTGGATAATTTTGTTTGATTGATACATACAAAATGATTACATGTTCATAATATTTACGTAGTGTTTTAATCATTAAGGAATGCTCATTAATATCTTGCTTACATAACAACTATCCCGCTATAAATTTTAGTTTATATCATGTCTATAATCTTTACGAATGAATTTATAATTTATGTAACTGTTATAGAACGTTGTTTATGCAATTTTTATAGAATGTTGTTACATAATTTTTTCATAATGTGTGGTCTAATAATAAAATCAAATTTAGAACATAACATATGGTTAAACTGTTATGCCAAAACCAACTATCCTTGCACAACCTTTTCATATTGTGAATTGATGACATGTTAAATATTTTAATTAACAATAATAAAATTTTAGCTAATATTAAAGAAATAATTTAATATGGTTCCTATTATTTAGGAGAAATTAAAGAACTTATCATAGAACTGGTTGTACTGTACTGTAAAATTGGTTATTACCACGAAAAGAGAAAATAGTCTATTTTTTCTTAATGAATAGTAAAAAGTTCTTGTGCTTTCAATTATATGGTCTAATAATAAAATTAAATTTTAGAAAGTAACATATGATTAAACTGTTATGTCAAAATTAACTAACCTTGTGGAACCTTTGTATAATGCAAATTGATGACATTAGGCAAATAATAGATTACATGGTGTTGTTTTTCCCCTTTGGTTTGCGAATTACGACTCATTTTCAATTTTTCTCTTTGTCTAACCCTACATTTAAAATTCTAAGTTGTATATTTGAATATTGATATTATATGAGTGTGTTTGATTTTTCACTATATGTTGGATCCAAATACGAACTGTTATTTCGTATAATGTTATATTACATATATGTTAGAAGAGATTTGATATCAATACCTCAACCCACTTGCTCGACCGGGCCAACTAAATTTCAAACTTGTAAACGTATTCACATAATATATAAGTGTATGAATACTATAATAACTTTTTTCATAAATTCTAGTTAAACCAAACTAAAGTGAGCGGATAATTAACCCTCAGGCCTCAACCGATAAGTGTATGAATACTATAATAACTTTGTTCATAAATTCGAGTTAAACCAAGCTAAAGTGAGCGGATAATTAACCCTCAACCGACTTGCTCGAGCGGGCCAACTAAATTTTAAACTTGTAAACGTATTCACATAAAAACAAAATCAAATTAAAGAAAAAGGGACCATCAATTTAAAGGAAGGAAACAAAAGTAAGGCCAGCTCCATACGTTATCTAGGGTTGGCTGTGGGCAATTAAATATTAATAATGAGACCGACTGTTAATAATGAAACCGGCTGTAGGAGATACTTGCTCCAATGAATAATGAAGTGGGAGAAAAAATGATGAGGAATAATAACAATCTTTTCCGGTTACTCGAGCTTTTAAATATAATAATTGATAAAAAAAAGCTCCAATTACTCCAATTTGTCAAGAATCACGTGCTTAACAGAACAATGAAGATTATCGGATTCGAATAAAATACTTTTCGATCGATCACAAAAAATTCTGATACTATGTCAAAAATCAATTTGTCACAATAATTCAAATTGTCGATTCAATTATAAATAACATATCATTTACTATCACAATTAACTAGGCTAGCAGTACTCAAAGAAGAGGGACCAAAACAGCTACAAACATGAGATCAAACAAAAGAAATAAATGAAAACTACTGGAGGCGCTGCCTTTAATTTCTTCCCTAATTAAAAAGCATGAAAATAATCAAGGCCCACCATAACAATACGATTCAGCGACGGACAACGCTCCATTCCTCCATCCAAATTGGAATTTTGCTGCAGGACCATATATTCTTGTATAAACTCCCTCCTTCCTCACAACCCAATAGATATCATTCTTATCATCGTCCGCGTTAAATGCTGTGAAAGAAATACGCTTATCTCGAACGGCGAGGTTGCACCAAAAAACAGTTGCACCAACTCCGTATCGTGCCGTGAAATTCCAACTGAGAGCAGAGCCAGTATCGAGAACCTGAGCACGAAGATCGTCGTCTTTGGATTGACAATGCGCTATCACTTTGAGACTGCACAGCTCGTTTTTCACATCAATCGTGATCATCTGAGTTGAAGGATGCGCCATAATTGCTATCATTATGGCTGCCAAACCCACTGCGGCTTCTATATTTGTGGTGGTAATTACCAGCTTCCTCATCGCTGAAGATAATGATAATAATTTTGTTACAAACTCTTGCTGAATATTTGATTAATGCTATATATGTGCTATGTTGCATATATAGTGCACTGAATATGATCATTAGAAGAGTAGAGTCCTTTGGCCCTCTGGCTCTGTGTCTATATTAGTTAAACCCAATGATACAAAATTAAATAAATTTAATTAATTGCTACATCCCAATAAATTATAACTATGTTAATATATTGAGTAGAGTAAGACGATTAAAAATTGTCACAATTGGGGTTCTCTCTTTGTATTTAACTGTTTCTTGTGCCGAGAAGGAATAAGTTGTGGCCGATTGCAATTCATTCGTCAAAACAAAAACATAAGTAGGTGGGGCATGGCAGGAATTGCGTCCAATAACAAGTATCATGGTTTAGACCGGTTCAATGGGGTTATCTTTGGCTATTTCTTGGTCGGACATTGTCTCCACTTTCGGGTTGGATCGTTGAATATCAATTTTGATAGTGTTTTCTTGATCAATGTAGTCAAAATCGTGATTTAAAGTTTAAAATTTTACGATTTTACGCTTTTAGATTACTAAAATGCTTCTAGTAAAATCTCGATTTTTGTAACTTATGCAGTTAAAAACTCGCTTAATATTAGGTACAATACTCCTTATAGCAATATTGATCTCCTCATTGTTGCAAGATTGTTGAAGAAGGTCCATATTCCAGTTTTGTTGATCATTCATCACTCATCCAAAGGCGTACAATTAAATCTCATTGGTTATTGCTTAGTTTGAATCCCGGTAAGGACGGAATCCGAGGGTCTTTGACAAGATTAATTGAGTGACCAAACGAGCTCCAAGTTTCAAGGTATTCCTACCAAGACTACTATAAATAGAAAATAGTTGAGAAGGGGTTTCCACTAGGGATGACAATTTTGTTCATATTCATGGGTATTTTACTATCCAACCCAATTGGGTTGGATATGGATTCCAAATAAATGGTAGATGTGTAGAGTTTGATGGATTTGTCCCCATACCCATTTACTTGGGTTGGGTTGGGTTTTTAACACATGGATTTGGGTTTGTACCCATACTCAAATACAAATGACAGTTTGGTACCAAAACTTAATAGATATGCATATTTAGTACCTAAATTTAATTTTTTTGCATAAAAGTCCTCAAAATATCGATGGAAAATTACGTTTTGGTACCTAAATTTTTTTGGTTTTACATTTTGGTACCTAAACTTTTCAAGTTTTACAAATAGGTCCAATTTTTGTGTGTGTAGTTAAAACACCCTCAAGTAAATGGATATTCATATCCAACCCATACCCATTTACATTATGAAAGCAATATCCATACCTAACCCAAACTCATCTACAAACCTCCAAACCCATATACACTTCATCCAAACCCTACCCATACTAAATGGATCTATTTGGATTTGGGTAAAATTATCCATGAGTGGGTAATTGCCATCCCTAGTTTCCACTATCAACAGCCACTCGGCCTTGTTTGAGAGGGTGTTCAAAACTGAAATAACTAGTTGTTGATCATTCATCACCTCTTCAAGATTTTACCATAGTTTAAGAGTGTGTTCATACTAAAAATATCTTCATTGATGGCGAGCCAAAAATCTAAATGAAGAGAGTAAAGTTGAACAGAGGGGATACTGGATTACCTCCACTTCGACTGTTGGGGTCCTTCACGAGTTGAATCCATTGGAGGCAGCAGGTATTTTCTGTCTATTATTGATGATTATTCGAGATTTACTTGGATTTTCATGACGAAGCAGAAAAGTGAGGCTTTCACGAAGTTCAAGCAGTGGAAGACATTGGTGGAGAGTCAGACCGGGAAGAAGATCAAGAAGCTGCGAACGGACAATGGTCTGGAGTTCTGTAATTCCAAGTTCAATGAATTCTGCAAGGATGAAGGGATTGCCCGTCATCGGACAGTGAGAGATACACCCCAGCAAAATGGCGTTGCAGAAAGGATGAACCATACATTGTTGGAGAGAGCACGGTGCATGCTCTCTAATGTTGGACTAGAGAGAAGATTCTGGGCAGGAGCAGTGAACATGGCGTGCTTCCTGATCAACCGTGGACCTCACACAGGTATCGATTTGAGGACTCCTTATGAGGTGTGGTATGGTAAGCCTGCTGATTACTCTTTACTGAAAGTTTTTGGGTGTCCTGTTTATTATCATGTGGATGAGGGTAAACTGAACCCAAGGGCAAAGAAGGGTGTATTTGTGGGTTACGGAGATGGAGTTAAAGGATTTCGAGTCTGGTCAACTTCTGAGCATCGAGTTATACTCAGTAGAAATGTGGTATTTGATGAGAAGTCTATGTTTAACCCCATGTTGAAGGTTACTGTTGTTGAAGGTAGCGGGAATGTTGATAAACAGGTGGAGCTGCAAACTCTCAAAGAGAGTGAGTTTGAGCACCAAGGTGGAGAAGATCAACATGATGAGGATGTCTCTACAGAGCTAGAAAGTTCAGAGTCCAGTGCACGAGCTAAACAGTCTATTGCTTCCGGTAGACCGAAGAGAGCGACTGCAAGAGTACCTCCACAGAGGTATGGCTTCGAGGACATGGTGGCATATTCATTTCAGGTTGCTGAGGAAGTGGATGCAGGAGAGCCACAGTCCTATAGAGAAGCAGTTTCGGGTGGTGAAGCTGATCAGTGGCTTGCCGCAATGGGAGATGAGATGGAATCCCATGACAGGAATCAGACTTGGGAGCTAGTCAAACTACCACAGGGAAGGAAGATTGTTACAAACAAGTGGATCTACAAGAAGAAGGAAGGAATCACTTCTAAAGAAGGCATGAAATTTAAAGCTCGGGTGGTTGCACGAGGCTTCTCGCAGAGGGAAGGAGTTGACTACAATGAGATTTTCTCACCAGTGGTCGGACATACTTCGATCAGAGTGCTACTAGCAATAGTGGCACATTATGACTTGGAGCTCGAGCAACTAGACGTGAAGACAGCTTTTCTACATGGAGAGTTGGAGGAAGAAATTTACATGACTCAGCCAGAAGGATTCGAGGTTCCGGGAAAAGAAGACTATGTTTGTAAGCTGAAGAAGTCCTTGTATGGACTTAAGCAATCTCCGAGGCAATGGTATAAGAGATTTGACAGTTACATGCTTGAGCTGGGCTACAACAGAAGTCCATATGAATGTTGTGTATATCACAGCAAGGCAGATGATGGTTCGATGATATATCTAGTTCTGTATGTGGATGATATGCTCATAGCTGCGAGGTCAAAGTCTGATATTCAGAAGTTAAAGGGGCTTCTCAGTGCTGAGTTTGAGATGAAGGATTTGGGAGTTGCTCAGAAGATCTTGGGTATGGAGATTTACAGGGACAGGTCGAAGAAGAAGCTTTTCTTGTCACAGAAGAGCTACATCCAGAAGATACTGTCGAGGTTTGGCATGTCTTCAGCAAAGCCCTTAAATACTCCTAGTGCCTCAAATGTTCATCTATCCTCAGCTTATGCACCTCAGTCAGAGGCTGAGAAGGAGTACATGTCGAGAGTCCCATATGCTAGTGTAGTATGTAGCTTGATGTACGCTATGGTATGCACTAGACCTGATCTTACACATGTTGTTAGTGTTGTCAGCAGGTTCATGATACAACCTGGGAAGGAGCATTGGCAGGCTGTGAAGAGGATCTTCCGGTACCTTAAGGGTACACCTGATGTGGGGATTAGCTTCGGTAGTGATACAAAGTGCTTGGTGTCTGGGTATTCTGACTCGGACTATGCTGGAGATGTTGACACTAGGAGATCGATGACCGGTTATGTATTCACTCTTGGGAGTTCTGTAGTGAGCTGGAAGGCAACTTTGCAGTCGGCGGTGACATTGTCTACTACTGAGGCAGAGTATATGGCGTTGACAGAAGCTGCTAAGGAGGGAATATGGTTGAAGGGACTGGTTGGTGATCTGGGTCTACATCATGATCAGGCAGTGGTGTATTACGACAGTTTGAGTGCAATATGCTTGGCCAAGGATCAAGTCCATCATGAGAGGACTAAGCACATCGACGTGAGGTATCATTTCTTGAGGACAGAGAAGAGGATTAAGGTGAAGAAGGTTGGCACCGCGGATAATCCTGCTGATATGTTCACGAAGCTGGTTCCACATGGCAAGTTCCAACACTACTTGGACTTGCTGAATGTCTTAAGTGGGTGACTCCGCCCTACGGGGCATTGATGGCGGGAAAGAGAGAGAGAAGGAGCAGAGTAAATCAGAGATTTCAGAGGAAGAGGATTCAAGTCAAGGTGAAGATTTGTTGATGTGACTTGAATCGGACTATCAGCCGCTACGACTAGTAATCGGGGGCCTGGTCTGTAACCGTTTCCTTTGTCAGATTGGATTAGGTTTAGACCCACATGGAGAAGTACTATAAATACTTTTCATACTCCTCTGTAATCTGTAATCTCCTTGATATAGTGAAACTGGCTCTCTCTCGCCCGTGGACGTAGCTAACACACATCGTGTTAGTGAACCACGTAAATCGTGTGTCTGTGTTTTTCGATTCTCGCTTTCGTATTCTTGCTTTGTCGATTTCAGCGATTTCCCGATCCGTAGCTGCGCGTTTATAACAACTTATTTGATGACTACGTATTTTACACATGCATATATATTTCATGTTCATAAAGCACGATTTTAATGTACATCCCTATTTTCTGACGTACACATGCATCAATCCTCGACGTTAGATTCTGGTTGTCGATATTTACATTTTTTTATATACAACCTATCGTTGTTTCGTTAATATTGTTTTTTGTTCGATCTTAACACATCTAGCTAATTAACTTAATTGATTGCATATGGCGAACAAGCTGAAAATTTTGAATCTATCCTCGTGTCTTGCACTGACAAGACTTCCCAAGGTACCAGAATCTGGAAGTCTAGAGGTGTTAGATCTAAGTTTGTTCAATGGGGACCAGTCTACGTGGGAAGATGAGCTGGATATTGGCAAGCTGAAGAACCTAAAGGTGCTACGATTTCCCTTTGCTTGTATAAAAAAGATAACATGAGGGCTTTGGCAGCCTCAGGTCTCTGGCCATATTAGAGCTGACGGATTGCACGTCGTTGGAAAGGATTGATTTTTCCGGTTTGGTGGATTTGGAGGTACTTAATATCAGTCTATGCCCGAAATTAGAGACGGTGGTGTCTTGGCTCCCGAATATGGAGAAGTTGGGTAGTTTGGAGATCACGGACATGCCTGGTTTGAGGGAGGTTGAGGGCCTTGCAAATTTGAAGTCTTTGCAAAGACTGGATTTGAGAGGATGCACATCACTGGAAAGGTTACCTCCTTTGGAGCAGCTCACGGAGTTGGGTATGGTAAATGTTGAAGGATGCACCAACTTGGCTGATCGTTCTGCTATCATCGGTAAGTTACCAGCTGGAGCGATGATATATCAGTAGGTGCCCAGCTACCTGTGGAAGTCTACCAGCCTTATTCCATAGCAGTGCCTTGACCAACTCCGGGTCCAATAGAAGCAAGCCCAACAGCCAAGCCAGCAGCAATAACGGAAGCGGCAGAAATCAATGGATTCATGATAAGTTCCTCGTACCAAAAGAAAGAAATAGTTAATGATACAATCAACCAAAAAATTATGACTTAATTATTCCATCAAAAAGATTTTCACCGAGCCGGAGTAAGCAAGAACTCTGAATTGAAGCGATGATACTATCAATGACAATGATCTATTTGAAGCATGCCAATTAATTTCATTTCACTTGTTTAGCTAATTTTATTGCACACAACTAACAACTCAGATTTCTGTGTCAAGTTTATTTTGTCTATGCAAATTAATCCTAGGAGTGGTTTATGGACCTCTCGCTAAACCTCAATAAGAGTATGGGCCGGTATTCAATGTAGTTTGTTCCATAATTTGATTAACAAAAATGAAGCACTCTCATTCGAATTTTGCTAGCATAGATTTGAACCTTATAATTAATCTTAATTTGTCCAAAGAAGTCAATCGTGTAATGATGTAATGATTTTTTTTTTTTTTATATAAAGGGAGGCCGAAGCCAAGAAAGAAGAGGGAGATTACAGGGGTGGACTAGCTAGTAGAGGAGGGAGTCGCCACAACCCGGCGCTCAAAGGTAACACCCATCACGTCATCCTGCAAAATCGGTAGAACTCCCAAGGGTGGATCAACCAACTCATGCATACCGTAGGGATAGACGAGACTGTGCTTCGAGAGCCAGTCCGCGACTCTATTCCCTTCCCGATATGTATGAGACAAGCTGACCAACCAATCCTGTCCAATCTTTCGGCGGATAAGATTCAAAAGGGTAGCATAAGGATGAATGGGATCATGCCGTTCCTGAATCAACTGAATCGCAAGCTGAGAATCCGAAGATACCTTCACTACCCGGTGACCGAGTTTCCAGGTGAGCTCTAAGCCATAGTAGATAGCCCACAGCTCAGCCACCACAGCAGTAGCCGAGCCAATTCCTGCCACAAAACCTCCCAACCAGTTTCCCAGAGGGCCTCGCACCACACCACCAGCTCCCGCTGGTCCCGGGTTTCCGTTCGAAGCCCCGTCAGTGTTCACCATAACCCATCCTTCCGCAGGAGGTGCCCAACCGATATCTGCATTAACCCGCACAGTCGCTTGCTTCTTAAGATTGGAGAAGGGATCCGGAGCATGCCAAGAATCATTCCAAAGCTTCGTCTTAACCATAATGGAGTGCAAAAGAGAGGGAGCTGTCATCGCTGCACTGAGTCCCTTGAACGCCATGGTAGTTCGGTTTTTCCATACTAACCAGCAAGCCATACTGAAAAAACCAGGCCAATTAATACCTGAGCTTGACGACTCATTGCTCACGAGATTGCTGCGGAACCAATCCTCGTGAGTAGCGCTGAAGAACTCATGCTGCTTTTGCTGGGGCACCGTTCTGAACCAGAAGTACAGCGCCGGGGCGCAGTCCCTCAAGATATGGAGAACCGTCTCGGGCTGCCCTGTACATCTCAAACACATAGGAGAATCTGCTACTTTCCTCTGAAACCGGAGGACATTGGTTGCTACCTTGCCCTGAAAAGCCAACCAAACAAAACATCTAATCCTCTCCGGCACTGGCAAACTCCAGATCACCTTCCAAATCCCGTCCTTCGGCTGCATGTCAGAGGCCGACAGTAGCTCATAAGTGTTTTCAAAAGTGTTTTCCCCACAGGGAAACATAAATTATCCCTTTAATGAATAGTAATTTTTGGCTTAGGTTCAATACATACCTCATCTTATAAGTACTTAAGTAGGAGGGTGGCTATACGGTCCGATCCGGTTAAATTGGCCCAAATTGATCTGGTCTCAGTCCGGTCTTTTCGAAAATATAAGGACCAAGATTGGATTGGATACAGCCTGGTCTTGACCCGGTCCAGTCCCAATTCGGTCCTGAAAGTGTGAGGAGTTGGTTAAGTTTTGTACTAAGTGCAAAGGTTTGTGACCGTTTATGCAAATTACCCTTAAGATTTGAGTGTTGAGCTCTCTTATCCGGTCTTTATCAGTTTTTGATCCGGTCCCGAACGGGTTTTTATCTCAAATCTAAGCCCAAAACTTGGATTAGATTGTTTACTATCCGGTCTTGGTACGGGTTATACGATCCGGTTTCGGATAAAACCAAAAAACCCGGACCAAATAGCCAGCCCTACTTATAAGATTGTAGTTATATCTTACTTTTTTACTTGTTTTTAGTTATAATTAAATTGTAGATATGCGAGAATATTAATTTCTCAAATAATTTAACTACTTTCATCACGTTGTTTCTTGATTTTTGTAATGCAAAGGTGAACATTTTTAATGTTTTCAGTTTAAACTATATATCCATATGGGTCAACCTCCCCCGACTCAAGTCTAATAATAAATTTCTCCTGAATGCGACCTGCAACACAGCGGATATGAATATCAAAATACCTGCCGCAAGAAAGATATAGGTACCGAGATACCCGTCCCGACCTGCCCATTTCCATTCCCAATAATTTCCATTCCTAATAACAAGGATCATGCATGGTTTATACCGGTTCAACGAGGTTATCTTTGACCATTTTAGATTGGGTATGCATTGTCTTTCGAGGTTGGAGCACTCAATATCAATTTCAATGTTGTCTCGTGAATTTCATGCTTGATCACTAAGTTTATTAATTTTTTTACGCTGGTCACTCGAAAATTTTCATTACTTATTATTTACTTATTTTAACTCCTTATTTCATCATTGGTCCTCCAAGTTCATTAAAATCGTCCTAGGTAAACTCGCTCAAATAAAAAATATAGATGAAAATAGCAATGACAACTACAATTCGTCACTAAGGACTTTTAGTATTGACATTTTACTGTATTCGGTAATGTTTTGTGAACTACTAGTGCATTTGTGACCATACTTATACACGTCAGTAAAGACAAAAAAAATCCTCGTCACTAAACCCAACTTTTAGGGGTCATTTGGAAGTTGCGAATGTTAAATCGTCGCATTGTAATGAATCACAATAATATAAATGCATGTATTGATACAATGGATGCATTTTAACAATACATTATTTGGTTGTTGAGATTCTATTTTATGCATTGATTTGCATTGATTTACATAAAGTTACTTTTATGGTGAAATGTCACATTTACCCTCAACTTTTAGAATAAGACAAAAACTATTGGGGATACAAATGGAAAGAAAAAGTTGTCACAAATCTAAAACCAACAATCACAACAATCTCAACTTTTAGTTGAGATTGTATAATGCATCATTTTTTGTGATTGTTGGTGAGACCTACCTAAAACAATGCATGTATTGTTTAACACTTTGACACTTTCAAACATTGTATTGTGCACAATACATGTATTCAACAAACATAACTCTAACAATCACAACATAATATTTTTTTTCCCAAGGAATGTTGTTGTTCAAAACTTGTGCTCATAATGGATAAACCAAAATTTTATTATATAGTCTTCTTAAGATTTAAAAAAAAAAACAAGTGAAGTGTACATATGCTTGCACAACGTCACTCGCCAATTAAGTAGTACATCTCTAGCGCACAAAGAAAATATAATCAAATGAAAATCAAGGCCCAACGTTACAACATGAACGAGAGACGCCTATCTCCAACAACGAGGCTACACCAAAAAACAGTTGCACCATGAGAATTCCGAAATTCAAAATTTCCAACTTACAACAGAGCCCCTGTCGAGCACACGGGCATGGATATCGTCGTCTTTGGATGCACAATGCGCTATCAGTTTCAGACCGCATAGCTCATTTTTCACATTCATTAACCGACCTGGGATTTTGCTCAGAAGGACGCGGCATAGCAATAATTACTAGCTTATTACCCGGCCCGTTGGCCGGATTACTGTATGTTACCCACTTGTGGAATGTGAGAGGAAGCAAGTGAGAGTGAAGGGATTGGGATTCCACTTGATTAGGACCGACCCACTAATCCGATTCTTCCCGACCCGCCCCAACCTAAAGGGTCAGAAAGAGTCAATAAGAAAATACGAAAGGAGAGGATTAGTCATATATCTTGATTCTTCAGAAGTGGGTCAAACAGGATCAAGGTTGGGTGAGGGCAATTTTTAGCGCTAAGGAGAGTTCTGGGTTGAATAACTTTACTTAGGCCTAGAAATTGGTGCTGATGCAGACTGCAGTTTTTATTATACCATCATCAATCATCATTGAATTAGTCCTGGGCATCCCTCCCCATTGTCGGTCTGAATTCTAATGATGGCTTCATTCCTTGCACCAGCCATATCAGCGAGTTGTCATCTCGAGCATGATTTGCCTATGTACAAATGATACAATTAGAATATGAAACTGAATTCAAAGAAAAGGAAAAGAGAATTCGATCACATGCCAATAAATACACACATAATAGTTGAAGCTAAGTGAAAGTCATTACTCGTACATCAATTCTCAAAAATTACAGACTAAACAATGGCTAGAATGGCACTGAAACTACCAAGAATCATGGACAAAACAACTTGTCAAATTAAGTCATCCTTATACTGAAACTACCTTCTAACTTGAAATAAGACATGATCACAGTTCATAGCACTCTTATCACTATGAATTGGTTGTAGCTCGTCCTTATCACTGCCTCCCAAGCTCAATTCAAACAAAATAGAGACCGTTATGTAAGATAACCATATCATTACTGATCATAATTCCTTTCTTCACTCCATTTTTGTCGGAGAAAAGAGTTATCCCCCTCTCCTGCATTTCCCTTTCCCCCTCTCTTCTCCCTCTTCTTCACAAACCGATCCCTAAACCAGCAACAACAACACAAAAATAGCCTTCGCCTCTGCCATCTCCATCTACTGAACGCGTTGGTGGCAAGACAGGACCGCAGAAGCAAAATTTTCTAAAATCAAACTAATTTTTTTGAAGGAGACTCAGCCACGAAAAAAGAGTAAAGCAACAATGCT